TGTCCTCAGGATCACCTGAGTAATGCAAATGGGTGTGGAGGCTTTCTTGGAACTGCTGGAAGGACTGTGTTGTAGACTGGAGATAGATGTCGTATCCCTCCCCCTCTGTGGAGAGGTGGCTGTTGAATTTTGACATAAATGGCCTCTTTGACCCCTTTTTCAAACCAGACCCAACCTGTCCAAAATGTGGATGTTGCTGTCCTCAAAAGAGTGGCCTTTGCCTTTTAAATGCAGGTGGACCGCTGAATCTAATCCTCTTGTAAAAGCACCTTTGAGACGATCAAGTCCTGGATGACTGAGAATCTCCAAAGACAAGTCTGAAAGTACAGATCGCCCACTGTCTCCTTTACAGATGGAGAAACTAGGGAGGGCCCTTTCTGAGCCTTTTTCTCCACCCATAATGAAGCTGAGGGCTATGCCATCTCTTATCTGACTATTTCCCTAATCAGCATCTCTTTGCTGTCTCCCAAGGTCTTTCCCACATACCACTGCAATAGTTTTATACAGAATAAACACGAGAGATTGCAGAAGACAAAGAGAAGTTTTCAGGCTAGGGATTCAGCTCCAAAGTCCTCTGCCACACCAAAAAATGTCATGCCCCTGTTGGACTCTGATTCCGAGGGAGAGGTTAAACAGCTGACTGGAAAGTGGGAGTGTGGCTCCGGTAGCTGTGGAGGAAACTGGGGAAGGACACAGTCTGACTGGGCATTCAGAGGAAGACCCAGGCCCACCCCCTCTTCATCCTAGGGCACGCTGGGAGGAACGGATAAGGGAGCAAAGTGAGTTGCGTGGTTTATGGGGGAGGAAAGGGCCCTGATCCCCTTCATTGGCTGCAGCTGGAAAGACTGTTTAAAAGGGCAAACTGAGCATGGCAAAGTTTCTGGAAGCAAAGCATGAAATTATTCTGGCTTGTCAAGTCTTATCTGAGTTCTGGAGTCCTCCCAAGTGTGTGTGTTTCATTATCTTTTGAATTCTTCAATCCCTTATCCTGCCTTGTCTCGTTAATTGCTGCAGCGTGGTTTGCGTTGGTGTTTATTTTTAATTTATATGTACTTTGAGTTCAGTCAGAATTTCTTCCTTTTGAAGCCTGTTTTTTGAAGAGTTTTTTTTTCTCTCCAGCCAATTATAACTGGACATTTGGGGGCAAGTTGGAGGTATTAAAGGGACTTTACCTACTTTTGTGACTTTGTTACTTTCGTGCCATGCCCGGGTCATCACCAAAAGTTTTAAAAATTGGGCTGTAAAACTGCAGCGTATTTTGACAGGATGGTATCATAAACTGGCTTATTTAACAGGTACAACTGTGTCATGGGTGGTGACATCACCCTGATTAAATCTCAGCCTCATCTGCTAAGCCTGGTCCAGGGCTTCTCAGTCTTGTCCAGTTATAAGCTTTGCGGACTTCAAGTCCCAGAATTCCCCAGTCAGCCTGCTTGGCTGGGGAATTCTGGGAGCTGAAGTCCACATAGCTTAAAACTTCACAAGGTTGAGAAACAGTGGCTGGCCTAGGCCAAAAATCACGGGTGGGCTTTTGGATCCCTTGCCAATGAATGTCACAGGCTGCAATTGGTTGTTAATTCGTGCATTAAATAGATGCTCTTTCCCTTCTAAATTCCTTATACTGTCCTGCAAACAAGAAACCAATGCATGCATGATAGGGGGATGGGAGGAAGAATTGCAGGGATTGACCCATTATTGATTATGTTAGTCATTCAAGGGATTTTGACCTCTTTTTAATAATCCATTACTTATCACATTGGGCGTTGTCAACTCTATAGCAAACTGTGAGTAAGGATTCCTCCACGTGCCATCAACCAGGAGAGAGTAACTTTTTGCAAGTGTTGGAAGTTAAAACCCACCTCTCTCCTAGGACAATGAAATATTTTAGGATATACTAAAAAGGCAGAATATTTCCCCTAAAAGAGAAGTAGAAACTCAGAAAGGCAGAAACTCACCCCCCCACACTATCTTTGTAATGGGCCATTAAGGCCTGGGCCAGTCTATTCTACATATCAAAGGTCTACCTCCTTCAGGCAGACCCATCATAGGAATCGTAAAGCCCTTTCATTACATCATCATCTGCATGGCCCCATGGAAGTCTAACAACCAATCAGAATACAAGCTCAAATTCAAATCCCAACAGAGGGCATAAAACCAAGGGATTCTCAGCATTTCTGCCCTTTTCCCCCCAGGAGCTCCAAGGTATGCGGTCCTGTCCACCATTAAACCATCTTTCCAAGCAGTCACCATGTTTCCAGTGTCTTTCTTCCCCACTTGGAACTGAACCCAGAAGGATATTTTCTTCCAACACAAGCCACGAGTGCTTGCTTTCATTTTATTGGCTTATTTTATCCAGAACTGATTAATTCACAGGATTTTTTTTAGGATTAACAGAGAAGGGTTACTGAAATTGCATGCCAGCTGTGATCCCAATTTCTCCTACGTTTAAGAACAATAGACTTCTTGGGCTTTTAAAATCCTCTACATTTTTATTCTGCTGTAGTAGACTCACGTAATTCAGTATCTTCTGTTTCTTCCTATAAATGCGTTCTTGTTATTTTTTTTAAAAAAACCCCACTCAACTGTAAGTTATATCAAAGATTAAGTACCGTAGAACCCACCCATTAAATGGCCCACTCTGAATCTTTTGTACCCAAATCCTTTGAAATTATTCAATCGGTTTCCAGAATATTTGAAAATCTGTGCAACAATAGCTGGGTTATCAAAGAAGTTATTAGAGAGTTATCCTTAAGATATTTCCAAAGTTTCATTGAAAGTCTTACTGACTGTTGGAAGTTGCAAAATTAGTTATCTATTGAATTTCACATTGATGGGTCCTTATCAGGCATACTTTGCAATCAACAGGAATAAAAGCAACCCACGGAAATTGAGCAGTTTCCGGTTTCAAGAAAAATGGATTTAAAACTGCAGCCTGAGATCAAGTCAATCTAAGCAAGTGGAAGATAGAAATGCCCACATGTCTATGATAAACCTTAGTTATTTAGGACATATCTCCTTGTTGTTTCTCTGTTTACTCCCTACGTGAGCTTCTCCAGGCTTTGAAACTGTCCAGGAAGGAGCAAAATGGAACTACGTACAAGCATTAGCAGCCATTGATAAATACAGACCAAAAAATGAGAAGTAATCCGCCAGGCAAAAACAAAGCAAGGAGCCATAAATTTAGCAGAGATTAAACCAAGCCAAAAGAGAATCCCAGAGAACATCCATCCCACTCTGGAAGGCGTGGGGGAGGGGGGAATGTTTTTGGAGAAAGTAGAGCAGTGTTCTTCAATTTTGGCCGCCTGAAGATGTGTGGACTTCGACTCCCAGAATTCCCCATGGCTGAGGAATTCTGGGAATTGAAGTTCACACATCTTCGAGAAGCCAAGGTTGAGAAATATAAAGCCAAGGAAGCACAATGCATGCAGAGGCCATCCTTCGCTCACCTAACTGGTGAGCTCCTGAACAACTCTTCTTCTTCCTTCCACCGTAAGAATTCTTCTCATCTTACAGCAGAGGTCTCCAAACTCGGCAACTTTTAAGGCTTGTGGACTTCAACTCCCAGAATTTCCTCAGCCGGCTATGCCAGCTAAGAATTCTGGGAGTTGAAGTCCACAAGTCTTAAAAGTTGCCATGTTTGGAGACCTCTGTCTTACAGAATTTTATTTATGTGCCCCGTTTCAGCGAATTTCCAAGATGTTCCAAGAACAGAAGCTTATTCTCAGGTTCTTCCCGTAGGATTCTACAAAAGGGCTTCTCCTTCGTCATTTTGAGCTTGCCAACGTGTCTGTAAGAGTCACAGGGACTGTAACAAGCCAGGATGAGGGCAAACGGCTGGCATGGACATCACGACCTCATCGCCCAAACGGGGCATGAATGTCACAACCTAAGTCCGCAACTCGTGCCATTTCTATCATGACAAATGTCAACTTGTCCCTTTCAGAGACCGATAATTATGAGGTGTAAACCAGGAAGCAGTCATTCCAGACCAGGTCAATATTAACCTTAGATTTTATATGTAAATGTAGAGTTTTAGTGTTCTCACATTCTCGGCTTTCCGTCTTAATAGAGGTTCGGCATCCTAAGTAAGATAAACCTATCCAGACACCTGAATGTGTTTTGATGCCACTATCCTCCAAATATTTTATTTAACAACCAAAATCGAACTCAAAAGAAGCCTTACTTCCCCAAAAATAGACTGGACAGCCATTTTTAATGGTATAAAGCCGCCTGCAGGGGGTTGGACTAGAAGTCCTCTAAGGTCCCTTCCAGCCTTGTGATTCTATGTTCTCTTGAGATTTGTTGGCCTTTTTTAAAAAATTCAAATACTTTTCTTTCAAATTATGGTCCTAGTCCTGATCTAAAGCTTCAACACCTTTCGGTTGCTAAGAATTTATGGGCCTGTCATTTGGACTTCTGGCATGAACCATTTTAAATCTCCATTGCTTAACTGCTGTGTGTAATTATTATTAAGCCATCATTCCTCAACACTTTTGATAGATATATCATTTCTCCTCCCAAGGCATTGTTTTTTTTAAACACCAGTGAGGTTTTTGTGTGTGATTCAAGACTGTAAAGCCTTCTTATTCAAAACTGATATTTACCCATGACACAACCAAGCTCTGACACAAAGCCTGTGTAGCAGAGAAGGCTACTACGAGTTGTAGCTATCTACCCAAGGGTAGGAAAAGAATTTCACTTATCCAATTTTAGAACGTCAGGACGATGAAACAACGTGTCAGGTTTCCAAGTCAAACCCGAAATTGACACAACGGACATCTCAAGACTTCGAGGTACGCCTTCCAGGACTCTCTTGTTCCTTGTAAGGTCACAGGTACCACGTCTGTTCCCCCTCCCCCAAGGTAAACTATGTTTAAGTAACCCCTCTACTACTTCCGGGTCCCAGAACATGACCTTCCCGTCTGCTGAAGAGGTCCAATATGCAGACCTGCGACGGCCTCGTGTCCTTGACGTTATCTTCAGGTGGGCTTTCCGTGGTCTCACTGTCTTGGGGTTGACCAGCCTAGATCACCGAAAGGTCCCTCACTCGTGGCTGACCTTGGTGGAGGGCCGCAAGGTGTGCAGAGGTCAGAATCGGTATCCGACTCGCCTTCTGCAATGTAAGGTCTGATTTTGGCCACCGCGGTATAGCAACCGTTGTTCAGGATGTCCAGATTTTCTCTGGACTGGGAAATGCTGAAGCCGCTGAAGGAACGCTCCAGTTCCTCGTGGTCGACCGATGGGATGGAAATAGAAGTGTCGCTGTCCCTCAGGGCACTTTCGGGGTGTTTAGCAGTCACATCTTCGTTCTTGGCGTACTCGGAACTGGCTCGGTTGTTGCTGCCGTAAGCCGACAAGGAGCGCTCATGGGAAGGCGGCGGCGGGATTCTCACCAAGGGACCAGGATCGCCCACCGGGGAGGACCCGTGGCTCGGACGGGGATAGTGCTGCCAAGAGGTGGAGGGAGGACATGAGTTGTTTGGCATCGTTGTGGCTGGTGGCGGAGCAGAGTAATTCTTCTGCCCCATGGAACTGGTCGAGCGGATGATCTTGATAATGCAGCCATTTTTATCAATGTGTTCCCGGCTGTCCTCTGGACTATGATAGGGTGGTGCGGGGTCAGGCTCTTTGGAACCAAAATAGGCCTCCGTTTCGTTAGGCGGGATGCCCATCCGTTGCATGTAGATGTTGACCAGGAAGTCCAACTTCTTCTCCATGGAGAGAACCTGGGAAATGCCCCATAGACACGATTAGCCAAGTTATTTTAGATCTAAAGATACCTTGATTCAAAGGGTTCATGGAGAATCTTGAGGATAAGCGGCAAGTTCCCTTAAAGGTGAATAACTTCCAGAATATCGATAAAGGAGAATATTTGTAGCTTGGGGTTGAAATGACCTTGGTGCTCTCTGAGTTGGGTGGTTTCTTTGCAGGTGTTTCATAAACCAAACGGTGCTAGAAGGGAGGGGTACTTGTGGAGAGGAGGAGGAGAAAGAGGAGGAGGAAGAGGAGGAGGAGGAGGAGGAGGAGGAGGAGGAGGAGGAGGAGGAGGAGGAGGAGGAGGAGGAGGGGGGGGGGGGGGGGGGGGGGGAGGAGGGGGAGGAGGAGGAGGAGGAGGAGGAGGAGGAGGAGGAGAACTATGGATTCCTTGGTGATCAGTTGTTTTCTTGCAGACATTTCATTACCCAACTAGGTGATATCATCAGTGTTAGAAGGGAGTGGGGTATGCCCCTTGTCTATACACAAATAGTTTACCCTGACATGCTGGCTGTGGAATTCTGGGAGTTGAAATCCACACATGCTCAACTTGTTAAATTTGATAAATGTTAACTAAGAGTCTACTGTCTTCCATGAATCAACCAGCTTGAATCTTAGTTCTGCCTGAGAGTTTATGGTTTGAGTCCTTAACCTTTACACAGAACTACAGTGCCCTGATTAGGACAAGTCACTTATCAGAGATCAAGCCTCACTCCCTTCTAACACGGATGATATTACCTAGTTGGGTGATGAAACGTCTGCAAAAGGAAAAAACCAAGCTCAGAGAGCACCAAGGACCCCTCAACTGCCAGAGTGACATAACAAACTTCCGATTTCTTCGGGAAATATCCAAATTAAGGAAATGTTATAAACTCTTCCATGTCTTTTTCAGCAACTCTCAGCATGAATTGGTTTAAGGGAAATATTAGCTCTAATTCACACCTCTTGTTTGCATCTGGTTAACCTTGGCTTCCAGTTTCCAGCAAAAACTACCTCATCACAAGCAATGGATTGGCTTCGCAACCATCGTTTCCACTTAAAGACTGCTGTAGAAAAAGTTGTAAGATCAGGTCCGATCATATGGTGACCTGCTTTACAACCGGCGTAACTTACAACCATAATTGCAGGGCTCAATTACAGTTTGTTTTTCAAGGACTACCTGTAAACCCTGACAGACAATCCACCAAATAACCTGAAGGTGAAGGTAAAGGGAGAAAAGAGAGAGGAAATCCCCATTTCAATATATTTCAATCTTTACATTGTAGAAATGGGGGGGGGGGGTTGTTTGCTTATTAAAATATGGCCGCCCAATTCTCTCCCAGTGACATTAAGCGGCTTACGAAGATTAAAAACCCAATATAAAAACGATTAAAAAAGCAAGAAACCCCTATTCCTGGTGGCAAATGAGCCATTTGTTGGGTTCCATCCTACTCTGGGCTCCCCAGACTCAATGGCAAAACCACTTCCAACTTTAGGGCCTTGCGAACGAGTGTCAAAGTGGAGGCCAATTTTAGTTCCACTAGGATAACAAGGGAGGGAGCCACCACAGAGAAGAAAACTGGCCCCGTTTCGTCACTTCAGGTATTTTTAGAAAAACAGGAAATGATGAAATGGGGCTAGTTTTCGGCCTGCAAAGCCTGCAGAAGCCTTCCTCAAACTGGCCGAAAATCAGCTGTGAGATGCGCGTATGCGCAGTGTGATAAGCTTGCCTGCAGCTCGCATGCTGGCACAAATGGCTCTGCGTGCCACCTGTGGCACATGTGCCATAGGTTAGCCATCACGGCACTAGATGGATCTCCTTAGGAGAAGTCAGGATTGAATCTCTTTGCTTCTTTCAAGCCTTAATGCTATTCAACTTGCCAATGAACTGGGGGGCGGGGAGGGGAGGGTGAAACAGAATGCTGAGAATGGGTTCACGGGCCGTGAGAACCTGGCAACCATCAAGGTCACCACTGCAGGTGCCTGAAAGGGAGGTGGACTGTTCCCATAACAAAAAGACATCTGATAATTGGACGATGTTATCACTCAGGGGTGGGGAGAAAGGGAAGCTATTGTTTAACAAGATAAGCATTTGCATGGGAAAACCAGAGCTGTTTTTGATCTTTCAGTACCAAAATGGTGTATTCAATAAAGTTTTACTTTGGAGGATTCAAAGCTCCCAAGGGTGTTTATTTGGTTTGGGTGTGGCGGGAGACCTGTTAACATCCCCTGCCTCCCTGCTCTGGTGGGTCAGATAGATGTTCCTGGAAAAGATGGTTCTGTTCTGACCCAGCTCCCCAAAACATGGCAAACCCTCTGTTAGGAATGTAAGTCACCTAACAGTTGGGTTGGAAATATATAAATCAGGATAGACATTTTAATGTCTCTTTAAATGAATGCTAAAATTGTAATTGGGTGTGGTTCCTCAAACGGCCATAAGATGGAGCCAGAAACCTGGGTTGTTTAGTCCAGAGTGTTCCAAGTTGCTAGTTGGTTGATGTTCACCGTTTTTGGTTCCTGCGTCTTCCCTATTAACTGTTGCTGATCGTCGTTATTCTTGGATTGATGTGAGTCTATTACTGAACTGTTTTTGATACTGGACTTTGTTATTGGATTATCCGTGGACCAAAAACTGACTGCTATAACCGTGTATGACTTGGATTGTTCGTTGGACTTTGCTTAGCCATTTACTGGAAGTAAAACCTACATTTTACTATACAGTGTAGCTGTGTTCTCTGTGTGTTATTCAACATTACTCTCACTACGTCTCCCTGTGTGCACTCATTCTCCTAATGGGGAATTACCTCAACACCCTCTGAAGTTAAATCAATGATTCCTTTATTAGGAGTGCGAGCAGCCCTGGCAAAAAGTTTCTCTCTCAATGCAGGCTAACAAGTCTGTCTGGCAGGGAGATGAATAGTTGTCTGCTACATCTATTCATCTCCACCCCCTGCCTTTTATCCTCAGACCTGGGATGGGGCTTCGCTAGCAGTGGTGGCTCTTCCGTCCCAAGGATCAGCCCATAGATTTCCACTGCTCCCCTCTCCTCTCTCTTCTGTGCACCCACGCATCAGGCACTGGACCCACCTGTTCCTCCTCTTCCACATCAGCCACCTCCAGACCTGGGGGCTGTTGACTCCCCATCTGAGTGCTGATGCTGACCCTGACTCCCATGCCTCCTCCTCCTCCTCCTCCTCTGATTTGGTTCCTGGAGGGGCTGGCGGCCCATAGGCCACAATAAATCCTTCAAATAACCTGGCCTTCAGCCATATAGGGCTTTCAAGGTGACAATAAGCACCTTGATTTGGACCCAGAAGCAAATCAGCAGCCATTCAAGCTCCTGCAGGAGAGAGGATACCTAAGGTAGGAATCGTACTGTCACTCTTGGAAGCCATTTTTTACTTGGAAGCTTTGAGGCTGCCACATTCAGTGCCTAGGAATTTGGGAGGGGAGATTCCATAGTGAGGTAGTAGACTAGAAACAACAACATTCTTTCTCAGAGAATCAAGGACATGTTGCCCTGCACCTCGAGGGGAGTGACTGGAGGAATATCTCCAGTTGGGACACCTTTCATTGACCCTGTGATGGACTGGTGGGTGCAGGGGATGGATCTTTGAATTTCTCTTGGGGAAGGGAAAACCCGCAATTCTCAGATTCGGCTTTTCCCAGGTGTGCCAATATGACAACTCTAATAAAGTGAAACTTTGAGAAAATGTTTGTCTCGGAGTTTTCTGGGTTGGAGTTTGTTAGTTGGAATGCTGACATTTAACCCGAATCTTGATATGTACCTGTTTTTCCACCTTGCCAAGTCTGCCCATCATACTCGGGTCTTCTGGCAATTCTCCTTCGGCCGAGCCTTTGGTGCGGTCTTTGTCGGTCAGTGATGGTCCACGCCCCACGATCTGGTCAACTCTGTGGAGAGCATAGGTCCCACCCAGGAAAAAACCAAAAAATCAAATGAGCAAGCTACAATCCAAGAGATCAGCTCTTATCTTCTGGATAACATGTATTCCACCAGCCTCTTCTTGTCTAATCATTGGGCAAGTACAGGTAGTTCTCGACTTACGACCGCAGTAAGGCCCCAAATTTCCATTGCTACACAAGTTGACTGTCAAAGTGAGTTGTGCCCCATTTTACAACCTTTTTTGTCACTGTTGTTAAGTGAATCACCACAGTTGTTAAGTGAATCTGGCTTCCACTATTGACTTTGTTCGTCAGAAGCCAGCTGGGAAGGTCAAAAATGGTGATCAATGGACCCCGGGACAGTTCAATTGTCATAAATAAATTCCAGTTGTCGAGTGCCCCAATTTTGATTATGTGACCATAGAGACCCTGCAAAAGTCATAAATGTTAAAATTGGGCATAATTCACTTTTTTTCGGTGCTTTTGTAACATCAGTCACTAAATGAATGGTTATAAGTTGAGAACTCCCTCAATTCCTCCAGCTTTTCTTGCCTAATGGTTTAACAGAAATAGCATCAGGCAGGTAAATAATTACTCAGATGCAAAGTCATACGTCTCTTTATTTCTGCTTGCATTTTATAGTTCAAAACATTTGTTTCCCTTTCTAGAGCTTAAATCTGGCACAATAAGCATTAGTAAATTTGCCCCTTGCGATCAAAGCTACATTGTGTTTCCAAATTCCTCTTTAGTTTTGGTCTCTATTTATTTAACTTAGATTATATGGCTCATTTTAAGTGTTAGAAATAACCGAGAAAGAAGACCAGGAACATGGCTAGTTAATTTCCACTGTGTGTCACAGTTCCAAAATAAGTAGTGCACACAAACAAAAAGGATAAATTTGGAAGAATAAGTAATACTATTTCCTTGGCATAATTCTGGATCAACATTGTTGGTTTCCAAAATCCGAATCTCATCCTGTATTCTTCTAGGTTGTAGGGATTTTCAAAATAAAAATATTCACAGACCTCTCAAATCCTGGACATTAACTGTTTCAATTCCTACCCTCAAAATGATGCTATAGAGCACACCAGAAAAATCTAGACACAAGAACAGTTTTTTTCCCTGAACGCCATCACTCAGCTAAACAAATAATTCCCTCAATACTGTTCAACTATTTACAAAGTCTGCACTACAATTACTGTTAACCTTCTCATCACTCCTTATCAACCATCCCCACCCACTTGTGACTGTATGACTGTAACTTTGTCATTTGTACCCTTACAATTTATACTGTTTCCTAGTATGATTTGATTGCTTATTGTACCCTATTAAGTGTTGTACCTAATGTTTCTCGACTCTTGACGAATGTATCTTTCCTTGTATGTATACTGAGAGCATTTGCACCAAGACAAATTCCTTGTGTGTTCAATCACACTTTGGCCAATAAAGAATTCTATCTTCTATCTTCTATCTAAGAATGGTAGTATATACATTATCTGCAATATTGTCCAAGGCTATTTTATTCCTCACTATCTTTTTGTTTTTTTACATGGTCACGTATCCTAAAATTTCATGTTTTTATAATCATTTGTATTATATGGGGGAAAATCTAAAGCTAACTTTTTGCATTATTATCAAAGACGGGAAAGGATTTTTTTTTTACCCAATATACTTGCATATTCAGCATATAATGCCCTTCAATTAATAGACATACATCAGTGTTTTTCAAACATGGTAACTTGAAGATATGTGGGCTTCAACTCCCAGAATTCCCCAGTCAGCCATGCTGGCTGGGGAATTCTGGGAGTTGAAGTCCACACAACTTCAAGTTAAATTTGATAAATGCTAAGAGTCTACTGTCTTCTATGAATAAACCAGCTTGAATCTTAGTTTTGCCTGAAAATATATGGTTTGAGTCCTCAGCCTTTTCACAAAACTGCAATTCATAAGCTCTATTTAATAGCAACAGCAATAGCACTTAGACTTATATACTGCTTTACAGTGCTCTACAGCCCTCTCTCTATAAGCGGTTTACAGAGTCAGCCTATTACAGGGGTGGGATTCAACCAGTGTAATACCGGTTTGGTGAGTGCGCACTTTGAAGATCATTGGAGCAAACCGGTTCCCTCTCAGCTGATCTTTGGAGCTACCAGTTCGGCCAAACTGGGCCGAACTGATAGAATCCCACCCCTGGCCTATTGCCTCCAATAATTTGGGTCCTCATTTTACCCACCTCAGAAGGATGGAAGGCTGAGTCAAGCTTGAGCCTGGTGAGATTCGAACTGCCAAATTGCAGGCAGCCAGCAGCCAGCAGAAGTAGCCTGCAGTACTGCACTCTAAGCACTGCACCACCACATCATAACATGGGTAAAAGGGGCAATTATAGCATCGGCCTACCCTATCTCCAAAAATGAAAGGATACAGGAAATTAGGAATGGTAAACTATTAACATATAAACCGATTCTGGCCAATTTTGGCCATAAACAATTAAAAATAATTGCTACTACAAGGATCTAGTTCAGCAAATGAAATTCCTGAAAACCACAAAGTGATCAATGCTAAGAAACAATTACTGGTTTTAATGAAAAGATGAAAAATTACAAAGAGCTGTCAGTCCACTTGAAAAATAAAATGCTTTCACAGGCTTTGTTAGTGAAGAATTCAAGAAATGGTCAAAAAAGGAAGACAGTTTTGCTCTCCAGATCTGAGCTTGTAAATTATCTGAACCTCTTTAAGTTGAGGTCATGTGTCATTTTCTTAAATATGATAAATAAAGCAAAAATTGCTCTGAACTCTTTAGAAGTATAGGAATTTTCTACAAATATGAATTAGTAAAAATTAGCAGCCATGTCCCTTTTCTAATATATATACCCTTTGCAAGATTTAGCAGAATTTCAAAACCTGGGCTTTGACTTACTGGACATGATCAATTTTTATATCTTGGAACATTTTCCTAAAGATGGTCATCTAATTTTTATATGGCTCACATGGCAATCACCTTACCTGCCCTCATATCATCTTTAAAGTCTGCATATATTTTTTCCTGGAGGCCTCCTTAATTCAGGAAAGGAGAGGGAGAGAATGGAAGATGGTTTATGGTTTCCTCGGGAAATTACTGTTTTATGCATGGTTGTTGGAGTTATTTTCAGGTTGTGTGGTCTAAACTGGTGTTTAAAAAAATCTCCTCCCCCTTATTATAGAGCCAACCATCTGACTTAACTTCAAAATCTTAATTAGCTCTGGTCAATTTTACTGTTGCATAATGTGCCAGAATTGTACAGGTGAACTTCTAAAAACCCCAAATGACAAGAACCAGGAATAAAAACCACAAACCAGTATATTCATCGTTCAGTAACAAATGTGTTGGTCTGGAGCAATTTAAACAGTACTTCTTCCACAGCTCTGGAGCAAAGGCAACCCGTTCCATGCACAAGGCGTGAATGAGTTATGAGTTCGATATCAGGCAAGGAAAGGTGGAAAACGGATTAATGAAATGAAATATTCATGAACACCTTGAAAAACTAAAATCCAGGGAAAGATCTAGCTGTTTCAAGTCATATCAAATTGCCTTACTTTGGCAGAAGGATGCTCAGAAATTTATATGCAGATCCTTTGAAAGAGCTGTGTCCACTCTTTGGTTCGTTAAAGCAGCTGTGAATTATTTATTTATTTGCAATCATTTGGTCCCCAGGCTCACATGTCTGCCTCATAAACAGCTTCCAGGAAGCGAAGTGGCTGTGTGCATGACGTCATGGGCTGTGCAAATCCTTCAAAAGAGCTGTGTCTTCTCTTTGAGTCATTAAAGCAGCTGTGCATTATTTATTTGTTGGCAAAATCTGTATATTGGGCAAAGCATTTGATCTCCAGGCTTACATGGCCGCTTCATAAAGAGCTTCTAGGAAACGAGGTGGTTATACATGTCACTGTGCAAATGTATTTGAAAGAGCGATGTCCCCTCCTAGACTCATTAAAGCAGCTGGGTTTTTTTTATTTATTTATTAAGCAATATCTGTATACTACTGTAAGCATTTGGACTCAGTGCTCAATGCCTGCTTGATGAAATAGCTTTCAGGAAGCAAGTATACATGTCAATGGCATGGGCTGTGCAAATCCTTCGAAAGAGCTATGTCTTCTCTGACTCATTAAAGCAACTGTGTATTATTTATCTTTTTTTTTTTTTGCATTATCTATATACTAATGCAAGCCTTTGGACTCCACGCTCACATGGCTGCTTCACATCCAGCTTCCAAGAAGAGAAGTGGCTGTACGCATTCAACCCACGAAAAAACCTGAAGCAGCTTCGCTATAACATCTGCACATGCCTCAAAAAAAAGATCCAGCTGCTTTAATGTTTTAAAAAGGTGCGTTTCTGTGCACATCTGTGTATTGCAAAGCTGTTTTTTTTTTTTCCCCAACCCAATTACTTAGATCTACATTTGTTCTGGGCCTGGACCATAATGAGATTTATGGTGGCCGCTATCTGTATTTATCATTATTTTATTTGGAAGCATAATCGCAAGGGGACAATTGCACGGCTCCACAGAATTAACTAGGGCGTTGCTAATAGTAGAAGAGCTCCATTGTTTTTCCTTTACTATGCATATTAAGTAGCCTCTGTTGGGTGCCATTTGCAATCATGAGGCTTTTTTCCTTTGTAGATTAGACATCTCATCACAAAACATGAGGCAAACAACAGTCAGGCTGATCGATACAACACATCTCATTTCACGGTAAAAGGAAAAAGGTACTAGAAGACTAAAGGTCTTCTAGTATCTTTTAAGATCCTCTAAATAACTCTGCTACTCTGCTTTCATTTCCAAGATGGTTGGTTGTGGACTTAACCATCCTTGTTATTCTTAAGCACAAGCAGCATTCTCCGTTAAGTTCCCTGAGATATTTTTAAATAAAGGGCAGTAAAATAGCATTTCTTCTGTTCCTGTGAAATGTATTTATCCACTCCTGGTCAATCAAACAACGGCATTTGATTGCACCCTGATCAATTTCCACTG